TCATTGCACTCCCTGTTCATTCTCTTCTTGTCAGCGTTCAAGGCCTTGCATCTCATCTTCAAATTATCAACTTCATTAAGTAGGCACCTCCTTTGGCCACTGATTTCATCAACTTCCCTTTTCAATTCATTAACTTCACCCTTTAGCAGCTTCTTATCCAACAACAAGTTGTTGATAACCCCTGTTTGTCAATCTGTTCCATCAAGTTGATCAACCCATTCGAAAGCTTTGCAACCCCTAGTTTCTGTGATTGGGTCATAAAACTTACAAGATATGAACTTCCTGCCTAGATTCTCCCTTGTCCAGCTAGTGAGCTTGGCCATTGGCGCACCACACTGGCATTTTTTTTCCTTAGAAGGGGAAGAGATAATAAATGACATAATTTGCATCAATTTTAGATCAACAATCACATTTACAGATTTGTACACCTGCCTAGATTCTCCCTTGTCCAGCTAGTGAGCTTGGCCATTGGCACACCACACTGGCATTTTTTTCCTTAGAAGGGGAAGAGCTAATAAATGACATAATCTGCATCAATTTTAGATCAACAATCACATTTACAGATTTGTACACTAACGAATTAACATTGTCAACAACAATTTTCATTTTTAATTACCTAATACGAAAAGCCCCAATTTCAATTTGTAATGAACCCTAATTTTGTAACTGGCCAGTTACATGCATAGATAACATAATCCAACCATCAATTCGAGTACAAAACAATTGAAAATAATAAACGTAATGAATTTAAACCATAATTACCAAACAAACGAACTATATTTCTCCAATTTGATTACACATAATTTGTTGTCATCGTATGAACACACTAATTACCTGTTTCAGCAGCTTCAATCTCTTCCTCTTCTCAAAAATCAAACAATGCTTCAGTAATTTTGGTTTTTTGGATGCAATTCGATCTGATTCTACTAAATTCGAACAAAAATTTGGTTACAAAAAGGGATAATTGGGAGAATCGTGTATATATAGAGAGATTTAAAAAAATTATCCGTTGGAGTGGGCCCCAGTAACAGTTCTGTTGACGGAATCAAGATTTTGGTGGTAACTTCAAATTTTTAATTTTTTATGTAATGTTAAAATAATTTATTTTTTTTTTTGGGTGTTAAAAACCATTTTCAGCCTTTTGTCTGGTGTTAAAATCCAAATATCCAAAAAAAAAAAATGTTGACAAAAGTTTTAAAAGGTGATGTTATAAATTATACATTGAGACTATATTTTATTATATAGTTAATGAAAAGTTTTGGTCAAAACTTTTAAGTTAAAGTTTGATTATAAAATGGGACAGTTTTCAAATGGCCATAGTTAAAATTGTGGCCATTGTATTAAATCAAATCACAACAGTTCATTTTTAGTGGCTAATGTAATCCGTTGATCTCATATGATTTACTTTTTATTTTATACTCCGTAATTAAAAAAAATTTGACAAAAAATAAAATAAAAACAATACCACGTTCAATTATTAGTTTTTCTTTCAGTTTCTTCTTTGTTTACTCTGTAATTTTTTTTCCTTTACTTCTCTTCAATCTTTGTTTGCCTGTTTTTGGGGTTACTTTTTATTGAAATTGGTGAATAATTTTACGGATTTGAGCTTCTCTGCATTCATTTGTGATTGCGTTCATTAATTATTTTTGGGTTGTGGGAGGTTGTTTAAGATTATTTAGGGAAAGTGCTAGAGAATTGGAAAAATCTGATTGTTGTCGAAGATTAGGCTGAGGTTGATTTGCAGATGGTCTTATTCAAATGATTTAATGGTGGCCAGTTGGTTTGGATCATAGAGATGCCAATTTGTTACTAGGGTTGATAAGAATCTAATCAAACCTAAATAAACAGACTTTGATGAATTTGAACCTGATTAGCTCATAAATAATTCGATTCAATGGAATTTTGTCTTATACAATCCGAAAAATGATCTATGATTTAATTGATTGTATGATGCAGAACGTGGTATTTTTATAATTTTTTTGGGTCAAATTTTTAAATAAAATAAACATAATATCAATGATTCATATTAGTCAATTAAAATAAATGGCTGTGATTTGATCTAATACAATGGCCACAATTTTATTGTGGCCACTCAAAAGTCATCCCATTTTAAAAGCTAATAAATTAAGGTTTTTTTTTTTTTGTTAACAGACAAAATGAGCACTCTATTTTAGAACTGTTAGGCATATTGTTCACAATGTATTCCCTCCTCCATTCATAATTTCATATATATTATTTACAATTGTCATATATTTGACCTTTCAAAGTCAATTTTTATGTATAACTATTATTGTTAGACATTTTACTATTGTTTCATCTTTCAAACTAAGTACTCGAAACTTAATAGCTAGTGTTAGTATGCTAAACTAGAGGTCTTATACAAAGATATAAAATGTAAATGCAGCTCGTAAATCATGGGGTAAACTCTTCGGTGGTGAACAAATTCAAGTTAGAGACTGAAGAATTATTCAATCTTCCAGTGCATGAAAAGAATAAGTATTGGCAAACTCCACAGACATAGAAGGGTTTGGACAAGCCTTTGTTGTATCAGATGATCAAAAGTTGGACTGGGGTGACATGTTTTACTAAACCACCTTACGTAAACATTTGCGGAAACCCTACTTGTTTCCCATGCTACCTCTTTCATACAGGTAATCAATCATTATTTTTAACTTCATGAAGGTCAAAGTTATATATAAACATTAATACATTTTCTTTAATTGGTGTTATTACGTATTTACGTGTGAGAATCTATGACCAATTCACATGTTAATTGGTGTTATTAAGGTTTAATAATTGTTAACTTTTTTTTCTAATCTTTTTTTATGCAACCTTGTTTTCCTTTATTAAGTTTACGGCTATGTACCAAAGTTTTCGAACAATTCATCCATGCATTTTCATAAACATTGACTATCAATTATCATAAATTCTAATGTAAAGGGCTAAAAATATTGGAGAGATACTTTGGTGTAATTAGTGTGTTAAAGTACATCCAAGTAGAGTTGACATTGACAATAGGTTGGACCGAGCCAACAAGCTGGGTATCATTAGTGAACTAGGCCGTATCAAGCCCGCCTTATCGTGTAGGCTGATTATGTGAGGCTTGCTAAGGTAATAGAGCCCAACATCGCACGTCCAGCTAGTGACTATTTGTGGCATGCTAACTTGCTTAGTAGGCTCATTTTATTTTGATTTGTACCAAGTACACTATACTCCATCTTTTCCTATTTGTTAGTTCTTACTATAATTGTAAATTACCATTATTAGATTCTCTTGAACATATATTTTCAAAACTCAACATTCTATGATTTTATACATAATTAAAGATGTTGATGGTCAAGCATGTTCTTTGAAAATTGCAGAAAAATAAATGAAGCAAACAATAAGGGACAGCGAGAAATAATATAAGTAGCTCATTGCAGCCTTATTTATTGGATTAGTTGGGGTTATAATTGCAAATATTCTTACATCTAATTCTATTGCATTATTAGCATTAGTAACTTAACAGAAGCTAATCCTTGTAGTGAGGAGTTATTTGGTTCGGTACATAATCAATTTCATAATTTCATGTCATTCCATTTCATTATGGGTCATTTTTTTTCTCTTGTTTATAATTAAATCTTCATGTACGGGTCTAATTACTATTATCACCAACTCATACAGAGAAACACTGGAAAATTACTCAGCCGAACTACAAAAGCTTGTTAGGAAGATACTTGATTATATGGCAAAAGCTCTAGACAAACAGTGACCTCAAAGATAATGTGTTTGGAGAAGGACATCAATCAATGAGGATGAACTATTATCCACCCTGTCCGCAACCTGATAAGGTGATCGGTTTAACGCCTCACAGTGATTCAATTTCTCTCATCACAATCCTTCTTGAGGTTAACGATGTGGAAGGCCTCCAAATCAAGAAAGATAACAAGTGGGTGTCGATCAAGCCCATACCGAACGCCTTTGTAATCAATGTCGGGGATGTGCTAAAGGTACGTAAATTTGCAAGTAGCAAGTTAATTTTGCATCGAAGAATGAATAATACCATGAGAGATCTCATTAACATCAACTAAGTCTGTCTTATATCTATTGTACAATGTAGATTATGAGCAATGGAATATACAACAGTGTTTTGCATTGTGCTGTAGTTAATACTAGCAAAGAGAGACTATCGGTTGCCACGTTCCATGGTCCAGCACTTTATCATGAAATAGGTCCGAACCCTGATTTAGTAACTTCTACCACTCCGGCGAGGTTTAAAAGAACCAGAGCTACAGATTACAATAAATGATTTTTAGCTCGTCCTCTTGATGGGGGAAGATATCTTGATGTCATGAGGATTGTTAAGAACGACCAACATTTGGGGTAATTTGAACTATACAAGTATACAACTGATGGATCATATTCGCGAGATGTTCCTTATGCATCTGCAATAAGTTCCACTATGTAAGTTATGTTATGTATGTCTACAAGAATGTAGCTAAGAGCATCCGGAAATGTTTTAAAAGTAATAAGGATTGTTTCTTAATGAAAGGAGGTGATGATGAACTACTTGTTGATTATTTTTATGATGTTAAGGCTTGTAAAGTTCATACGAATGATATTGATGATTATCCGTTGATTAAACCCCTACCACGGCCAAAGCATGAGAATGTTACTTAGGGCTACCACGGCCAAAGCATGAATGTTACTTTGGGCTACCACGGCCAAAGTTATACTAACAAAATGGCTTGCTTGCTTAGTTATGTTCCAACAGTTAAAAGCCTTGCTTGCTTATGGAGTACTCAGTACATCTTAATATAAGATCTCTAAGAGTCCTTAATTTTCTTTATCATTATACTACCAAACGTCCCACCTAAACTATAATCCTCGATTCAAACTGCAAAGAAGCCGAGTTTGTTACAGCAAATCTAATGTCCGCAAATGAAAGAAAAATGGATCTTAAACTGGCAACAATTGTGCACAAAGAAGCTGCTCTTTGTAGCTTTAGAGATGAAATAAAATGCAGAAAATATGAGAAACTTAATTTCTTTTCCTGATAACAACCTAGAACATATCCAAAAAATATCACCCCAGAATAACCAATACATAAGTTCTAAAATGGCTATGGTGACACAGCTCCATAAATACATGAATCGCAGCATTTTAGCTGTAATTTAGATAAATAAAAGTGTACCAATACTTTACAGAAAATTTCGATATACATACCAGAGTTCCACGGACCAATTGCTTCATTCCCCCTACCCCACCCTTGCACCACTTCCTCCAATTCAAATCAATGCAATGTCAAACCATTAAGTTCAACGTTAACAAAGTACCGCAAGGTACTCGCTGTTGTGTTACCAGGTCTCTGTGGCTCTTGCTGGACCTATTATTGATACAGATTTTGCTTGTTAAAACACAATGTTAATATGTAATGCTGCATAATATGCAATGAACAGAACAAGGTTACAAAAAGAAAACAAACAATTAGGCCTCATTCTTATAGTGAAACCATCAAGTAGAAAGATAGTTTTTAAAAACTGCACTCAATTAATCATATCAACGAGTAACATTGAGATCAAGAGATGGAATTCTATTCCTCTGTAAATATTGCAATGAAAGGAGGAGATTAGTGGGTGATCAAAGTGATGACGGAAGGAAACGGTACTTTGCTATGCACTCATCTAATAACCTCAACAAAGTGTAAATAAGAAATCTATAAAGTCTACATTCATCCAAATAACTATTTACTTAAGAAAACAAAATAAAAGAGGCACACACTTGAACAGAGGTGCAAGCAGCACATAGACCATGTAAATGAACTCCAACAGAAATTGCAAATTATTCCATCCTATGCAGAATATACAGCAAAAACATGTCCAGCCAATATGTCAGTAGCAGGCAGCTCGATTTTAATTTTAGTTTTAATATTTTTAAAAAACTAAACAACCTTTTCCCCAATATTTTCCCTGAAGTTAATTGACCCTAGACAATCACCTTGTTGAATGTTGATGTACAAACAACGGATTTACTGCTAAATAACTAATTAATAGATCAAACTTCCAATGTGGTTACAATCTCTGGCATTACAACCCTAATATTCTTCAGCAAGACCAAACAACTTTTTTAGCCCATTAAAACACTGGCTCTAGTAAAATACAATTAATTCAACAACGAAAAAAGGTGGGCAGATGTGGAAAAGGCAAGCATATTTGGCAAAAAAAAGTTTTAAGAATGTATATTTTTATCTGTTAAATTGTCAAATGCCTGTGGCCAAACAAATCGGATGCCTCTGAAGTATGAAGTATGTACCTCAGATTCAACTACAAAATGATACCAGCTTGCACAGGTGAAAAGATTCAAGATTTTTAATAAAAAAATTATATCAATTTACTATGTACTTGTATACTGGTACTGACACAAACAAAATCAATTGAAGACTCGAAACTGCAGCAAGGTGTGCAACATAGATAAGCCCTAGGAGCAAATCAGTCATGGTACCTGGGCAAGCAGCTCTATCAACTAAACAATTGGCAAAATTAATTCATATATCGAATGGATCAGCTGATTACCGTACGTACCTAGCATTAACACCATCAAGTGCAATAACCACCCTCCCTTACAGATTACAATGCCCAATATTTGTCTATATGAAATAAATTTGCCCTACTAAATCTAATTTTACAACTGCCTAAACTCACTATACTTAAAAATGTGCTCAGTCCATGTTCAACCTTGATCCTACTAGGTGACAACAATGATTACCAAGTATGCAAGCACCAAAAGGTAAATAGCAGTTCAGATGTACTTAGCCTTACCCATGAATCCTAATTAGTTCAAGACTACCACAATGGAAACACAGTTATAGACATATAACCAACAATCTATCATAAATCAGGCCCAAACCAAAATTCAAAACATAAGCAAGCCAAAAAGTAATAACAATCACTACTAAATTTATATCTAAACAAGTAATGCATTTGGTAGGCGTAGCCTAAGCTTGGTGCAACTAGATATGATCAAATTGCTATACGACTAATACAGTGACTCTGAGCAATGTGAGGATTTTACAAGCACAAATTGTTTAGCAGAAAAGGCCAGCTTAAGACACACACAAGTTCTTCTTCCATTTTCAGACTCTAGATTGTTTCAATTGTGGCCAAGGTAGCAGGCAGTCAGGCACTAGGACTTTCTTTCTACCAGTAAAGAAAGCAAAGAGACAAGGCCCCCATCAAGCATGACAGCATACGATTTTTTCATTTACGATGTTATCACCTACAGAATTCTCAAAACACAATACTCAATATTACCGGAATGGTTGACTTGAATCACTGTTAAGATCCATGAATGACATTAACTTCAGGGCAAATAATGGGGAAAAGGCTAATAAAAAACTGAAGTAGCTAATCACATTGTGGCAACAATAACAAACAATCGAGCACGAGGTTATAGGCACTCCAGACTAATTGTACATAGAATCGATGAAAAGATTGAGATCATAATTGTGAAAGAAACAGGCTATCCTCACATAAGAAAGGAAATCACTAGGACACCTTGGTACTTGGTAGACAATGCATTTAAATGTCCTAGACACATTTATTAGTCGCATACCCACATTACTTCCAAAATTGTTTTTTTTTTTTTTTTTTTTAAAATCACAGTTATAGAACTCCTTCTAACTAAGATTAAGACAAATCATTGAAAGGCTTGAGCACAATCCAAAATCTATATATCTGCCACCCAAAATTCGGAATATCCCATAACAATATCCGATCCGAAAATGTCAAATATCCAATAACCAAATATGACTGAGACTGTCTCCTCAAAAATAAAAAAAAGTGACTGAGACTGAATATAAAGTACATAAGGCCAAAATACTATTAAAAAAAAACCCACACACACACACTAGAGGGCTAACTCATTATTTACATTTGAATATATTATATATAATCTACTTACATGAAACACATCCAAGTTTTGGCCTTGAATTTGTAATACAAGTTAAAAAAAAAAAAAAAAAAAAAAAAAAAAAAAAGATAAATTATACATATACCCTCAATAAATCAGTATTAATTTGGATAATCTCAAAGTTTAAAATTCGAGCAGCATAAAAACAGGGAAATGTATATAATTAGATGAAAGAAAACGATATAACAAGCAGACATAGTTCAAAAAATTCCCACAAAAATATCATAAAATAAACCCAGAAGCAATTATCAACAGGAAAAACAAAATGACATAATTCCCTTCAAAATTCAAATTTTCAATTGAGCAAAAGATCAATGAAATTACCAATTAAGCGCAAACCCATTTGCTAAAAACTCCAAGAAATGATGGGTTTTCAAGCAAAAGAGAAATTGAGCAAGTTTGGGGAAATGGGCATCTTCAAAATTAGAGAAAAACACCATATTCAAACCCTAAGAGAGAGAAGGAAAAGAAAGAAAAAACTCAAAAAATGAAGGTTGGATTTTAAATGAGATAACAGAGGATCGGAGAGTAATGAATGAGAAAAATTGTTGTTTAGCAGTTTGTGTTGTTTAATGAAAGGGTGGTTTTGCAGAGAGATTGATGCTGTGCAGCTGGTCTTTAGGCTTTGCACGATTTCAGAGGCAACACAGAACAAATTTGTGAGAGAGACAGCAAAACAATGAGGCGAAATTTTTTGTTTGTGTAGGAGACTAGGAAGAGTATAGACCAGCTGAGTAGGCCCTTTTCTCTCTCTTTCTATTCTTTCTACCCAAATGTGAATGTCCCAAGTTTCCCTCACGATTTTTTTAGTCCAGATTTTACGAGCTTAATATTTGGAAGTAGGGGTAGAATAAGAGGATCCTTAATTACAAGTACAAGTTACAATTACTATCACTTGATAAGATTTGAATCTTAGACAGTTAGACATTTAGAGAGTTAGGTCTTCCTTGGTGTGAGATTTCCTTAGTGTGAGATTTTTCTCTAATTGAACGATGTCTTCATGTAACACTTTAAATAAAAAAACTATATAAATAAAAAAAAAGTAGTGTATTGTACACAGGTACATCACTTCTTGCTTTTTGCTTTTTTTTTTTTTTTTTTTTTTGATGCAATTGAGAATTGATCTTTATCCTTGATGGGATTTGGTTTGTTTGAGACATTCGAGTGATATGTTATTCGGTTTTGTTTTAATTTGTTTACATCGAATGGGATTAGGTTGTATCTAGATGAATTGTTGATTAGTGTAGATTGAAACTTTTGGTTGTCTTTACTTTTGGGTTGAATTGGTGGTTGCTACTTGGCTTCACTTCAAAATTTAAATTAAATCATGTTATTATCTTGATTACATCTTCTTAATTAGATGATGACAAATAGAATTACTTAGGAACATCTTCCTATTGTCAAAGAGGGATGACAAACGGCGCCTATATATGATTAAGGGCCTTTTTTAATGTATTGTAATATCTGGCGTTTGACAACAAAAGTTTTGATTTGGGTGGTCCTAAGCAACATTATTTTATTATGAGTGGTTTTAGACAAAAAAAAAAAAAAAAAAAAGTGGATTTAATGGATGGTTTTTATACAAAATTTCATATAAACCATTCAAGTTATGCATTCATAATTTGAATAAAATAAGGAAATTTTCATTTTTACCACCTTCAAATAATGACTTTGTCGAATTTACCACCTCCAAAAAAAAACATTTACTTTACCACCTCATAAAAAAATTAAACATCAGTTTTACCACCTCATCTGAGCTCAGGTGACGGAAAACGCTTGTGGGGCCCAGCATAACGGCTAGTTTTTGATCTTTTCCCAAATTTCTCTCAATTTCCCTTTTATTTAAACCTAGTTCTTCATTTGTACACCAAATTCTTGCAGATTGGAGATTAATTTTTGCGATTTTCTTCACAAATCAGTATTTTTGGGCAACCTTAACAATCTCAAACCCTCTAATTATCAAACAATCAATTGAACTCCTCGACAACAAGCATCAAAAAGGTAAGCCATTGTCGTTAATTCTCTAGCAATTTTCGTGATTTCTGTTGTAATTTTTTGGCAATTCGTTGCGTGATTATGTTGCATTTGCTAAGAGTAATTGAAATTGGGCGTTTTGTGAGGTCAATTAAACCCCAATTTCAATTAAAATACTTAGGGTTCATGTAAGATTAAATTAGATTGGGGGTTTCTGTTATGTGAATTGGCTACTGAAATTAGGGTTATATTATGGTGATTGTGTTCAAATACAATTAATTTCATTCTTGTTCTTACTGAATTTCAGAAGGGAATGTCTTCAGTTAGCATGTCACCCTCAAAGGAGAAAAAATGCCAATGTGGAGTTCCAATGTCTAGGCTGACTGCTTGGACTAGGGAGAACCCTGGACGCAAGTTTAGGACCTGCAAATTCTATGATCCTGTGACTGAGTCAAGGGGGTGTAAAGCTTTTGAGTGGGTGGATCAACCAGATGGAACACCTTGGCAAACAGAGGTGATTAACAACTTGCTGCTGGACAAGAAACTAATGAAGGGAGAGCTGAATGACATGAAGAGGGAAGTTGATGATGTTAGTGGACAAAGGAGGTGCTTGCTCAATGAGATTGACAGCTTGAAGATGAAATGCAAAGCTCTTAGCTCAGACAGGAAGAAGATGATCAAGGAAGTGCATGGCAGCAATGCAACAACAAAGAAAATGCTCACAGTACATGTTATTGTTGTGTTTTGTTGTTTTGGTTTGGTACTGGCTATGTATTTTAGATCTTAGGTTCATTTAGGAATGCTTAGAAACAAAAAAAATCCCCAACTTATGTTGTGTTTTGTTGAATTATTATGTGTGGATGTTAGGATGACATTTCTTGTACTACTTTTAACTAAATCAATGAGAAATGGAACTTTTTGGTAGAAACATATCACATTTCGTATTAGTACTTGCAACACAATGTTTTTAATTGTTTTACATTGGCTGACACAAAAGTTAAGGCACCTTTGTGCAAAATCATTGTTCAACTACCAAATATACTGCCTACTATACACATGTGTAGTTAATAAACTTGGCTATCTATTACAAAATACTAATGAGTAGACCTAGGGTCACAGTTGATTGAGATCCTTGTCCTTCTTGCTTGTCATTACATGAAGCTTGGACCTGGTCTGTATTTTGACTTTGGGAGGAGTAGTTGTTGGCACTCTTGTGGGCTTACTCAGGCTCCTGTTGCTCCTGGTAACAGGCTGAGTTGGCAAAGGCTCTGTTCTTGTTGCAGGCTGGCTTGACACAGCAGTTGCAGGTGCAGCATTACTTGACCCAGCCTGTGCTGTTGTTGGAGGCTGATATTGTGGCAACTTCAGTGCAGCCTGCAATCACAGTATGACAAGACTCATAAACAAAGCCACTAAATACACTCAAGTCACAAAATACACAAAATACCTGTCTTGCTGCTTTCTCTTCACTTTTCTTTCTTTGTTCCTTAAGCCAAGGAGTCTGCATTTGTGGCCTCCCACCCTTTGGATTTGTTGCAGGTGGGTTAGGCTGTTCTGGTGCTGCTTCAGCCTTGCATGTTTTGGCAAAGTGGCCAAACCCACCACAGTTTTTGCATTGTTTCTTCACCTTTGGCTTCTTGCCCTCAGGTGCTGCAGAAGTGCCCTCCCCTGGTTCAAGCTTTCTCTTTTTTGCCTTAGGTCTTCCTGGCTGCACTTTTAGCATAGGTGGCAAAGGCTGTCTGAGCTTGACCTTTTCCCAATTCTTAGGGCCAGGCATTGGCTGTATTGGGTTCTCATATGCAGCCAAGTATGTCACCCTATAGTAATGTGGGTGCACATACAACTCAGTATCATCCCTTTTGTCCATTATGCAAGCAAATGCATGGACACAAGGTATTCCTGTCAACTCCCATCTATAACAAGTGCATTTTCTCTCTTGTAGATCCACAATGCACTGATCATCCTTGTATTTCACCTCATAAATTTCATCCCTTGAAGTTGTAACCTCACATGTCCTGGCATACTTCTCCAACCCATCGAAGACTTTGTTGACAAATGGGGTTAGTAAACCTTCCCAAGACTTTGCTGCCTCCCATTTGTCATTACTCCTCTTCATCATATATCTTCTAAGCCATTCCATTTGAGTTAGAATAGGATTGTCTCTGGCATCTCTAATCACTGCATTAAATGTCTCACACATGTTGTTTAACAACATGTTAGACTTGCAGTTTGTAGAGAAAGCATGCCTTGACCAGTGCTGGGGGTCAATGTTTGACAGCCACTGGTATGCTTCTTCATCCAAAAAATTGAATTTCCATAGCAACTTCAAACTCAAACTGATACAACCACACACATGACAACCATTCAACACAACATAGACACATGGCATACAGTTTTCACAAAATAGAAAGAGATGCAAATATGTGCAAAACTAAATGTTCCTAGCATACATTATAGTTCACATAAAACTGACATAAAAGAACCTAAATAGAAGCTTACCAGAGTGCTTGCCCTAGCAGCAGCCCAGAACAATTCCTTGAAAGTTGCACCATGAAATTTCAGTTTGAAATTTGACCAAATATGCCTCACACAAAATCTGAGCTCAACTTTGGGGGCCACATCTGCAAATGCTTCTATGAGACCCTACACACAAGGCAAAACTAACAAGTTAGTGTACAGAAAATTCAAATAAAGCAAAGTAATTTAAACACAAACACAACCCACTTACTTTCTGTCTGTCATACATAAAAGTCAAGCCATCTTCTTGGTCATACACACAAAGTGCCTTGAGCAAGCTCTCCAGAAACCAGCACCAGATGTCCTTGTTCTCAATCTCTGCAGTTGCCCAAGCAATTGGGAAGATGGAATTATTGCCATCTTTTCCAACTGCAACCAAGATCTGCCCAGGGTATGCCCCTTTTAGATGGCACCCATCCACCCCAATTACTGGTCTGCAACCAGAAATGAATCCATCCCTAAGTGCAGCTAAGCACACAAACATCCTCATAAAAGTTGGTCTTTCAATTTGATTAATATCATCCACCACCACATTACACTCACTCCCTAGGTTCCATTTCAGCAGTGCCTTCCCATAGTCCCAAACCTTTGAGTATTGCTCTGATGAAGAGCCATATATTATAAGCTTTGCCCTGCTTCTAGCCAACCAAGCCTTGGAGTATGTAATTTTGATCCCCAAGTCATTCAAGGCCCTGTCCTGAATCTGTTTAATCTTCCATCTGGGGTTGCCCCTGAACTCCTCCAAGTACCTGTCAGCAAGGAACTCTGCTGTCACCTTGTTGTTCATTTTACTCTTAACACACCTATGCTTCAGCCTTAGTGTCTTAATTTTCCAAGCCTCTGATTTCACAAGCCTTGTTGCATAAAACTTGAACCTACACCTAACACCCTTACTACATGTACACTTCACTATTCTACAACTGTTCTTGTTATACACACACTTGCATTTCCTTTTGCAATATGTTGTTAGCCTCTTTGAATCATTGTGAAGAAGGTAATACTCATACCTATTTTCAATTGCATGTTGTCTCAAAGCTTTTCTCATTGTTTGCACATCACTGAACCTTTGACCAACTACAAATTTGATAGCCCTTTCAAAGTCTGTCTCAGGGTTAAACCAAGTAACACTACCCTGATCATCATCTGAATCACCTTCCACACTCTTTAGCTCATCAGAATCACAAGCTGCCTCCTCTTCAACCCTCACTTCAATTTTCTGTAGATTTCTTTCTATGTCAAACCCTGTGTCCTCATCATCACTTTTATCCCCTCCTTCAGTAACTCCCCTCAAACTGCCTTTCACCTCACTGTTAATATGGTCTAAATTTTTCTTCAACCACTGTTCATCATCATTAGAGTATAAGTCCTCCTCTCCCTCATCAACTTCTAACTCAAAATCACTCAACTCAGAATCAGAAGACTCTGTATCACCATCCTCATCAGTAAACACATCACTGTCATCCCTTAAGCTCCTCACTCTTTCTT